ATCACTGTGTACTCAAGTACATAGTTTTATTTTCCCAGGTAGTTCCTTTACCACAGATTATGAACATACTATTCGTAGTCAGTAATGATTACAAATCACAGAAATTCAGAATACATAAATACGTGAAATAGAATTAGATATTTCAATAAATTAAGCAATAAGGAAGGCCTGTTTTAAACAGCAAAATATTCGAATGAATTTCCGGTGTCCTTGAACCAAATTTTTCTCCTAAACTGTTTACGAGATTACAAATATACTATTCATAGTCAGTGATGATGATTATAAATCACAGAAATTCAGAATACATAAATATATGAAACAGAATTAGATATTTCAGTAAATTAAGCAATAAGGAAGACCTATTTTGAACAGCAAAATATTCGAATGAATTTCCGGTGTCCTTGCGCTAAATTTTTCTCCTAACCCGTTTCCCTGCCGTTCGCCTTTCATACTGATAATTAAGTATCCAATTATTTCGAATTTTTCACCGACGAGTGGTGTCTCTTTTTTTCTCCCCATTGTTCCGGCTTAACTCCTCTCCCCTTACCTCTCTTCACTTGTATACCACTGTACCCTATTATAAACGAAAGAATCGACACAATTTCAAGTCCTTTTATAAATATAAATCCCAGGAAATTATCAGAATTTAATTAAATCTATTCTAACGTTATCCTAAACTAAAACCTAATACATTTTCCAATGAATTTCTACTAAAAAATAAATAAGAAATATAATTTTAATCCAAAATCCGGAAAAGAAGGGGAGATAGTCATTCATCGTTTTATTAAATATGTTCAGCTCCTCTCGCAGTGAGCAGCGACGATGGAATGAAAAGAGTTAAGAAGAAGAAGAAGAAGAAGAATCGTCAGGGGGTCGGTGGGGTGAAACCGAGTGAACATAGTAGCGAACGGTGTATATGGGGTGAGGGTGGGATGTCGGCGGCCATTTTGGGCCACGTGACACGGGCGTGGCGTGACTTCATCGGCGATCAATACCCCGGTGAACCTAAATACGAGAGAAGGAAAAAAAAAATGAGGCAAATCCTTGCGATTTCACCCTAATTTTTATGTATTATGCGTTCCCTTCCCTTCCCTCTTCTTTCCGTTGCCTAGGCGCCATTATTAATTGTACAGGCTCGCACCGAGGCCTTAATTAAGTTCAATCGATGCCCGGCTGTACATATACAGCAGAAAATCTGTATGCACCCAACAGACTTCAAATGTTTATAAAAAAAATACCAACTATTCTTCAGCACTTTGTTTGTCAGATTGACAAGGAAATCTTAAAGGGCTTCAGACGTTAGGGGACGAGGAGACATTATTTTTAGAGATATCGATTTATTACTGATTAAAATTAGGCTACTTGATTGCCAGGGGAAGCAGGAAGCTAAGAATTGCAATAGACGAAAGGCGTGCAATGGAAAAGATTGTTAAACCACCCCCTAAACTCCTCACTCCCACGACACAATTAAATAAATTGTTTGGGGGGTAGTAAATTTTTCGAGGGTCTCTAAGGAAATCGATAAGCAGCTTGTTGCTCCGAGGGTAGTTGGAAGGTTTGAAAAACGCTTGCAAACGTCCAACGCAACGCGGAGAGAGGAGTGTAACGCGATAAATCGTGAACCCTCTCTCTATTGGCCGCTTGTTGCTACGCACGCTATAATCAGGGCACACAACAGGTTGCCAACAGAGACTCGTAATTGTCATTAAACAATTTACCGCACGAGTACGATGTACCTGCGATGCAGCAGCTCGCCTCGTTCGATTGCGAAAAACTAATTAATAATCAACGCTGGAAGAACTGACGTACCAAGTGTTTGCAAATTGACTCTTCAAACCTGCAATCGTTGCTGCTGAATTACGCGAGCCAATGCAATTTTACAAATAATTATTTTATACGTCGACGTAGTAAATGTAAAACAAATAAAAATTCGTTATATAAACTATAAACTTCAAATAAATAAATGAACAATTTCTTGGATAAATAAAATTTAAATTGATTTCCTACAAACTTCCTGAATCACTGAATGAAGAAGCAGATGCATGCTTCATTAAGTCTGCAAGTTACATGTGAAACGAGAACTTAGTTCCACGAAATGAATATGAATACACTTAAAGGCAGAACGACAGAATCGTAAGCGTAGTTCAACTACTGCTGATGCCTGGCCAAATAGTAATTAATTTCTTGGAACGAGGTGGAAGCTTGTACTACTGGCCAGATGGCTGAATATGAATGAATGCAGGTAGCAAAAGGTTGAGTTTCTACTAGATTTGGATGTACTCCAAACGAAGGTAGTCACAGAGAGCCAAAGACTCTGCCAGGCTTTCCTCCTCTGCGTTATATGTTTGCCTGTAACCATTCTGTGTCAATGCACGACTCTACGGTCCACGTGTCGAACTCTCTTATCCATTGTCACTGATATTAAATACAGTTACAATTTCTATAACATTCTGTTGTCTATAATCATTTCTTATATGGATATCTTTAAGTATAGAATTTTTCAAGAGTGAAACGTTTTCCCCTAAAGACACATTTTTTGTTGGACGAGAAAAAACGTATTGGGGTCTTTGAGACACTACGAGAGCCGGTGGATCGATCTCTCTGAAAGTTTGATAAGACACTCATCCGGTGTTTGGATTGCCTCCGAGCTGGACACTTTTTCGGAACGTTTCGACCACCGAATCTTATAAAAAAAAACTGCTGCCACGTATGTGCCGCGCATTATTTTATACGTAAAAAATCTTTCAAACAATATTCATTATATCGCGATACGAATATCAGGTATCCTTCGGTCATATTATTTCCCCTTCCCAGAATATTCTATCTCATCGATCTAGTTTGTGAGCCATCTCGAATTCTAAATGAAAGCTAATTCCAACAGAGGAGAATATTTCTAAGAAGTGAACGTTGAGTTATTTAAGAAGAATGTTTTATAAATTAAGCTCACTATTTTGCCGAGTCGTTCAGTTGATACTCATTGCTCCTGCCGAAGCATTCCTGGACCCCGCTGTCGTGCCAAAGTCTGTTCATCGCCGCCAAAAGCTCCTCGCTGAACGGTTCCGTGTCCTCCATTCTCTGGATCACGTCGAACACCATTTTTGAGTCCGGCTGCAACCAAAATAGGAAGAATGTCAGCCTAATTAGGAGTAATTACCTCCGGGCACAAAAGCTATTCTGTAATCATTTCTATGGAATATTCATAATATCGTCGGAACGAACAAATATCTTTTGTCTTCTATTTCAATTTACAGGTTTCATGAACGTACAAAATTCTATGCAACACAAAACCCGTTCTGTGGTAAACATTTCATCGTACAACATCTCTTAACGTCTGTTTTCATTTGCAGATATTTGCGATTACGTTTCACAGGAATTAATTAAACCAGCTGTTTAACGTGACAAAAAGGGGGCGGGCTGGCAGCGAATTTAATACTCCACATTTACAGTTTACTGATTCGGATGAGCAAAGTATAATCGTTTTTGCGACGGGACACTTAGCGCATATAATAAAAAAAAGAGGAAGCTGCCAAGGGAGGAGAGGTCAGATTGAGAAGCACTGGGTTCAAGGAGGCCGGATCAATCGGCCCTCGAGGTCCCCAGCCCTCGTTGTTTTCGAGCCGGGGGCCTCGTTATTGGCTTCTAAGGTAAACGTCGTCGCAGCTGCCGATGCTGTGCTGCACGATCGGTAAATATTCCAAAGAAGAGGGTGCTCCTCGAGAGGGTACCTCCGACTGCGAGCCTCGAGATGCGCATCGATCGCTTAACTTAAAGTGCCCCCCGCCCCGATCCTCGATATTGCCCATCGACAATTTTTCAAACTCGTCCACCTCCTGGCCCAACGCTTCTTACTCTCTTATTTATCTACTGGCCTCTTCCGTTTTTAATATTTCCAAATCAGAGAACCAAATTCAAGAACAAGTTTAAAGCTTCTACTTGTCTTTATGTTTCCTGTTTTACTAGAAAAATCCAAGCAAAGTCTTTCTCTTTGATATAGTAAATGTAATTAATTAAACATAGATAATTTATGTACTGATGTTTGATAAGATTTTTGTGACTGCTGAGATAAATGTATTTGTACACGAGAAAGTGAAAGACTCCTGAGCAATTGATATTGACGTGAGTCAAATTGGCAGCGGAAGTGCCGGTTGAGCTTACCTCCCGTTCGTTGGTCGAAAAGCTGATGCCCAGATTGGGCATCGCTCTTAGAATAGCGACTAGAGATTGTATCGTGTTGCTGTAAACAACCGGCCTGTACTGCTTGAAGTCCTCAGGCGTGAATCCACTCTCGTGGATAATTCTGTAACAAATAAGCGACGACCGCGTCGTTAATGGGTTTTCACCTAACGAAAATTGCGAACCCATTCTATCATACGAAATTTGATTTTTACTATAATTACCAAATTGATTGTGCAAATTATGGTGGGAGGAGTGTTCGGCGGGATTGAACACGCGGGCCTTTGTCCCTTGGACACCATGAATGGACCCATTCATGGGAAAACAAGATTTCAAACACGTTTTACCAGAAACTGACTGACTAACCGGTCTTTCAACACGTCGGTGAGGCTATCGATTTTTCGACGCTTCACAACCGATTTCCTCGTAACCATAATTCAACTCAACTGCCTTTTGTTTATTTAATAATCCCGCATCGATCATACAAACACCGTGCATAAAGCATTTTGACATTGAATCAAACAATTTAAAAGAGAAATTGTTGCAAGAATCTATCATTTGTACTTTTAACATAATAAAATAATTTGCACATTTCCATTTACTCAGAATTTTTAATTAATGAATACTTTAACGATTAAGCACGTGTTAACTTGAAACGCAGTCATAAAATTAAATTAACTGCGCACGTGAAACTGTCATTAGATTAGCAAACTAAAGTCTCGAGAATTATTCCTGTAACTCATTACAGTAAAACAGTAGTTACTTACTTCATTTGTTTAACGATGGTACTTTTGCCAGACTCGCCAGCACCTGAAACAGAAGAGTAAGAAGAAAATTGAAACCACGTGTCCTAGAAGAAGAGCATAACAATTTCTAGCCAATTTTCATTTTACTTCTAATAAGGCAAATACTGCAGGATTTACTCTAAACATTTTACACAATAATATTAAATTGCTTAGGACAATGAAAATTATAGTCTTCTCTGGCAATTAATTACGAACAGTCTGTAGCATAAAAACTGTTGTTTTCATACAGGAATCATCCTAATTTTCGCGGTACTAGGAACGAATAGAAGACGGGAAAAAGCTGGTCCAGGGGACGGAAGCGTCGGAACCGGAAGTGACGTGACACACTGTGCCACAGCCACGGCGGAACTTGTTTTCCTGCTTACGGGTTGCTCTCCCCCTCTTTTAAAAAGCTCTTTCATCCAGAACCCAGCGCCGTTCTCCCATTACTCTACGCTCCACATTCTACTCTTACTGCACTGTCTATTTCGCAATTCAATTATTTCTAATGAACAATAATGAATGTCCAGCAATTATTTACATTTTATTATTATAATAATTCTCGTTCGTCTCTTTAATGACTTTACTAGCTGAGAGCGATTAATAAATACGATTATGAGAAAGTTTACTCAAATTAATGTACAGGAATTGAAGAAATTAATTATAATAATTCTAATCAATGTATAAATGATATACAGAAATTTGTTTTTACAACAAGCAGGGATTTTATAAACGTTGGGTATCGGTTTTCTAACTAGCCGGCGTTCTCGTTACTATATTGCTTTTCACGGTTATCGCTCTATTTGTTGTTACCTACTCGCATTATCGAGTTTTACGATTACCCGGGTAACAGGATGATTGACACGGACGCCAATAAATTATTCTATGCCTATCTGTTCGTTCGAATCGTCGGGAACAATGATCGCACTGTACTTTTAATAAAATATTAATGAAACCTCTTGTAAACTAATCAACTAAGACAATCGAGAGCTGGACCTGTTCCAAACTTATTCAAATATTAAATCAGAGATGTTGAAAACAGCCTAACTGTGATCAGTACTATTTTTATAGATTACATCTGTATAGTAAAACTATAATTATAGAACGTGTTGGAATGAACTCATAAAATCTGATAAACAATGTTGCTTTTAATTTCTAAGAAATCTGATTATGCGAATTTCCTGTAGCAAACAAATAGTTTGAAAGCAAACAATATGAAACGGTGTGAAAACAAGCTCTTGATTAAAATCACGTATACATTGGCTCGATCCAGATTTTTGCCTCCGCCCAAAATCCTATATAATATTTAATCGATTTTCTGTTTTCTAAATTGCACGATTGTATAAATAAACGAGAAATAGTGAAGCGATCAGTTTTATGATTAAAAGGAAGTCAGATGGAACGGAAATAAACCATTGTTGAACTAAGTGGCCGGCTTTTAGCGCAGTAAAATTAGATTTTGTACAATAGCAAATCCAGCGTTGCTATTTTTAGGTTTATTGTATTCCAGTATTTCATTTCTCAACGTCTGTACGAACCGGATAGAATAGCTAATCTGATTTACCATTAAGCTATCAAGTTCCTTACATCACATCATTTTAGATTTTCTTTGTACTTCCCATGTCCACGACCTACAATAATACTAAATCAATTACAAAATTCTAAAATCTCACGACAAACAAACAAATAACTAAATAATTAAATCTGACCATTAAATCTGATTAAAAAATTGCAATGTATACAATAATTCATATAAAGAAAATTGAAAGACAGTGGTAAGAAATTTTTTTGCGATGAGTGTAATTTAGGTGAATCGCGTTTTCGAAAAACTGTCTGACAGGGACAAAGAATTCTCTGGTTTGTCTGCTGCCGGCATTCAGAACCCGAGATCATTCGAGGGAAATCTGGGTCCTGTTTATTGGTGTTACCAATGACGTCATCCCCTTTCGCTTGCGTCTTCTACGCCGGCCATGTATTTTCATCCCATTTATGCCACAGGAAACGCGCCACTCGCACTATTGCCTCGGCAATGTCAGTTTTTCATCGCGTTACCTCCGCCGAAATAACTTACAGGCAATTAGACCGGATTCTTATACGAATACCAAACGAGTTCATTGACGCATTAAACGTGAAGGATCGAATGGCCGATAAAATTTAAATAGACACATAATTACGTTTCCTATTTTATCTTCGTTTGTATTTAATTAAGAACGAGTCTATAATCTGTAAAAAAAATATAATGAGATTAGGAATGCGACTCGTATTATATGCATATAACTATTTCCAAGTAGTAGTTATCATAAAATGGAACAAGTAAACGAAATGAACAGGAATAGTATGTTTTCTTAATCGCGCCTCGAGAAGTATGATTAAAAATAATACACATAGACGGTCTGATTTAAACGAGAAATAAAATAAGTAATAAATAGATTGTTTAAGTTGAGACAGGAACGAATCCTGCAGGAACTCTCTCGTTATTTACATTTTACATTATATTGTTAAAGTACATAAACGAATTTGTCTCGTTTATTGACAAAAACCCGAACGAATTCCGTTGTAGAGAATTGCGCGTGTTAAAATAACTGAACGGGAACCAGTGATTTGACTGAAGTTCGACAGTCGCGCGGTCTAATTGCCACACGGTTCATTAATTTCGGGATGACGATTCATTAAAAACAAGAAAAACGTGCCGAGAAGTGGTGCTACAGCCGCGCATAAAATGAATTTACGAGAACGCCGGCAGCTAATTAACGAGGAAGCCTGCTTCAACGTACTTAAGCGATGTGTACTTTTCACGCCTGTTCAAATCATTGTTTCAGAATTCAGATTCGTTTAACGATCGATAGGGTTTTAACGCGACTAGATTAGTAGATCGATTCCAACGATGAATGAATGAATCAATCAATCAGAAAGACTGATTAATTGATTGCTCGATCGAATAAGTGTTCTCGGATTTAATGCAGTTTACAAGCATCATCAAAGTAGATTCTTATCGAACTTCAAATAAAACGTTCTCTAATTATTGCCCTGGCAGGCTTCATTCCAATCCGGGCTAGAAATAATAATCCGGAGATATAGAAAAATATTATAAATTAAACGACAAACAATTGTTTCTCAAATGCTTATAAATCTAATTATTAACATTCTTCGGTATAAAGGAACCTAATTGTGATTGAAAGCTGTTATTTTAATACGTATAAATAGACATGTACGTGTGGTACATACGAATGGCCAAGCTGTTACATAATTAAACACTTGCCTTTAATGGTTTTACGTACGTTCTTTTATCGTGTTCAATTCATCCTATTGAGACTATTGGCATCCTGTTACACTCGTACAGCAACCACTAACTTTTCATAGAATAACATCATCTTCATAAAAAGATTATAACACATTCTTTCCATAAACGATAATTTCTTATATTATAATTTCTAATTTGTTTTAATAAAATCCATGACTTATAATTAAGATTACCCAAAGGTCGCATGTACATTCACATAATTCAGATCATCCCTTAAATAATGAACGTCAATACGCAAGAGAAATATAAAAGAACATAAATAATGACTCGTCTGCAATTAATACATGATACGTTGAGAAGTTTTCAGAACGAATTATGTTTCTGTGAACGAAGAGACGTTTAGATTATTCACAGGATGACCCTAAGGTGTAAGTAGTTGAAGAGTGCTTACCGAGCAGCAAGAGCTTAATGTCCTTGGCAGCCTGTATCCCGTCCTCCTTCAAATTCTTCTCGATCTGCTTGCTGCGGGCCAGTGCGGCCCGCTCCTCCGCGGACATGGCGCAGCCCATCTTGCCACAGGTCGCCTTCACAAACGCCACCACCGAGCCTTTTACCGACTGTCCCCGACCCCTTCAGAAACCTTAAACCCCGTCGACCCGATCCGCGTTCACCTCTCACCACAACAACAACACTACCAGGCGACTGTGGCTGTAATACCTACTCCCTCCTCTCTCTCTCTCTCTCGCTCTCTCCTCGACGCGACGCTCAAGTCGTCGCCGTGGCTTTATCCACCGCCACCCTCCGCCACCCTCGGACTCTGTCCCTCGACGCTCGACGTCGTCGCCGTTGCCGTCGCTCCTCTTCTCTTCCTTCTTCTTTCTTTCTTTCTTTTTCCTGGATTTCACTAGCTTCTGACGATGCCGCGCCCCGACGTTCGCCGCCACCGCCAGACGCAGCCGTCCGCCGCCACCCTGGGACGAGCAGCTCAAACTCACTTGATCTGTAACCAGAATATCGCGTTATCAATCTCTGAAACAGTCTATAATAAATCATCGTCTCGCCTGATTTAAGTAATCGTATAATCCCACCAAGTCCCATTATAATTATTGTCTGAATTTTACAATTTATCAGAGATCAGACGTAGATTTTCGACGGTGAAGTGGCGTCGCGTTTATATTTATAAAGAACAACCTCGGACCGGTAATTGATGGAGGGTAAACAAGAGCGTGATCCGACAGGTTGAATTTGCGGTTTTATTGTTAAATTATTAACGAGACAGGATAATGGGAGCTAATGCACCCTGGAAGATCGATCGGATATATCGTTTCAAAGCCTGCCGTGTAGCTCGCCACGCAGGTAAGTAACTACGGTGCGGGTCATAGGTTTCGCGCGCGCGGGTCACTACCTTACCTCACCATTTCGACTTCTAACTCCTTCAGAATCCCATTACGGATTTATTTCCAGACTCCCTATATACCTTGTCGTTTCTATTATCAGTAAATCTTTCCTTCAAATTCCAATCAGTTGTCTTACACATTTCCATCTATTCATATTTAATGCAGGATTTTATATGCATTTCAAAATCGCTTTAAATAATGCAAATTAATCCAAACAGGATTCTGGATACAAACTGAATTCATTCGCAATTTACGATTGATTATTTTTTTAATATCTCAAATATTCAAATAATTGTTTCGATTATAATTTGATATTTAATAATAATTCAATATTAATGGATTTACGTATTTATGTATGTAGATATTAGATATATTGAATAATCCTACTACTACGATGAGAACAATTGAAACTTGAAAAAGAGCGAATCTGTGCCAATTGAAAAATTGACGCTGGAGCGCGGCAGCGTCGAGTTTCACGGTGCAACAAACAAATTACTCATAAACCCGCGCGAAGCTGAGGAAAAAAGTTATCGAGCGTGTAAACGAACTCCGTGTATTGATAAACCGTCGCCCCGTTCGCAATTAACGTTGTTACATCGTACGCTCGACCATTTTTCATATCAGTCCTCGACCAACCAGATTTTTCGGTAAAATTTTTATTAGCAACTTTTCAAGATAAGAAACAGTGATAAATCGTATAATTCCAATCGCTCTCGAGCACAAAACGAGGGGAGTACGTCGTTCTTAGAAATAAATTATTTCAATGCACTCTCAGTAAAAACTCCAAATTTTCCGCCTCTTATCAAAGATAAGTTTTATATCTAAAACAATTATCTAAATAATCTAAAACATAAAAAAAAATTGTTATATCTTATTATTATTATTATTATTAAATATTAATTAGAAGCATGGACGTATTTAAAAACTATTTAATTCCTGCATGATTTTTCTCCTAAACTAAATGATTCTCCTTATTAACTTTCCATAGGACTTAAACATTATTTAAAGCTTTCGTAAGCACATAATTATTCCTATATATCGTGCAAGTTATGTATAAGCTCTAAGCTTAAGATTATAGCCATGTTTTGCATCGATAATTAATATTCGACGATAAGGCTTGTCCTGAATGAAAAGAAAGACAAAACGCGCCGATACGGGAAGCCGCCAGTTTAAAACTACTATCGCGGAACATGATATAATTAATTATTCAACGAGCAGATACGTGACTGATAACTGCGTCTATGTACGTACATGTCAAACCGAAAACATATTTTTCTGTTTAAGCCGGATGTGAACTGTGATTTAATTAACCCATTACCATCCTACCTACTACCATACTACCATATAATCCTGCATCCTACGTGATTCAAATTAATTTTCTATCGTAATTCCTGCGAGATTCTATACGAATATTATTATTACACTGCGTAGGAAGCACTTCTTTATTCTTCATGCAAAGCTTTTAATCTATTTTCCAGAATTGCAATACGAATATCAGACGAGAGTAGAAGCAAAAATTCAGACAAATAAAAAATGTAAAAATAGACGAATTTTTGTTATTTACTCTTGAAACAAATGAAACTGCATAAAGGACAGAGAGAATTATAAACAGAATCACGGTCGATCGAAGCTGCGAGTCCGAAAGCAGAAGAACTGTGCGGGACGAGTTAATGCATAGACAGTTCCTTGAAAACGCAATTCTCGTTGCACGAGGTTTGAAAGTTCGCCCTCGAGCCGAGGCCTCGTTCCCTTTTTTCCCCCGAAACTTCCGAAAGGATTAGTTTTATACCCGTCCTACGAGCTTTTCTTTTGACCACAGGAAAAAAAATATCGCCGCCGACTACCAGTCCGCAAGTTCTTCTTTGTAATAACTCTTCTGTGGTAACAGGCTCTTTTTCTAATATGATAAACGCCGATGTGGCGTAATAACCATGTTGACAATATTAAATAACAGTTATGCGACAGATAAATGGCGATAGTTCAACGTTAACGATTATAGGAAGAATCATACTTGGTTCTATTATTAAAAATATTGTTCAGGTATCAAAACCTATAACTTAACCTGTTCGTTATTTCAAATAAATTCGGTCATTAATCTCTGTAGAATTTCTTAAGAAAAAGAGGAATCGAAAGAAAGTTCGAGTCGAGTGAGAAAGAGAACTGTCCGAAACAATAGAGGTTTAAAAAAAGATGTTCAAACAAACAGTATTCGTGTGTCGGAAAATATTTCGTAGAATTTATCATTACCCTTACTTACTATCGATTGGGAACGTTTTAAAACTGAGGTCGATGAACAGTTTCTGGTAGTTATGGTCCACGCGATAGGAAAAGGAAACGGTGGGTGTCGAAAATATATTTGAAGGTTTCCGTGGCTTCAAAAATAAAACCGACTTTGACAGCCGCCGAACTGGTTGAGAAATACTTGTCAATGAAACGCGTCACGAGATTGGAGCTAAGCTTTTGTGCAGACAAAGGTGTATCTCGAAATCGTAATTAAATGTAACGAGGAGTGCCAACAGGAAAAGATAATTATAGAAACTGGAATAAAGATGATTCTTTTACGCACTTGAAATGCGTGATCGGAACAAGGGTTGCCTCGCTTCCCGAGTCCGATGATAAACGATGCATCCAACCGATCGGTCGAAGGTGTATTATTTCCGCAAGAATCCGCGGTGGGAAGAACGCGATAAATCGGTGCTAAAATGATTTTCAACGCGGTTACGTGGGATACGGGCGAAGGGCGTAAAATACTCACCGACGAAGCCACCCCGCGTCGTCCGCTAGGTGCCAGGGTAGCTCTCGGTGTCTCCGGGCGCGCACATAGACGACCGCCTGTCCCCCGTGGATGCCTCCGAAACCCCTTTTCTACGCACCTCCCGTACGTGTCACACTTGTCTCACTCCGGGGTTACGCGCGTGTACTTTATATCTCCAACGCCCGTATCACTCGAATCGATACGCGAACGCGGCGAAAACGGCTTAACCGAGATAATCTATCGGTTCTGGATACGTACCGGAACTCGATACAACTGAATCGCAGCGCGTTTCCCGGTGCTACGAGGACCGATCACTGCTTGATTATCCCCGTATAGTACTACGAGTCAGGGAGTACTACGATCACTTGGCGAACGGAGGGTTAACACCGGGCGAGGACGATTATCCCGAACACTGATCACGTTTTACTCTCTCTCTCTCTCTTTCCAAACCCTTGTGCGCGTATCAAAGACGTTCACACGGTGGTTGGTCCTCTCTCTCTCTCGGTTAACACGAACACCGCGGCGGACCGTCCGTCGAGTGAGCGTTTCCCTTACTTCTCGTTATTTTCGTCTGGAGACCGAGAGAAAGAGACTCCGAGGCAAACTCCGAACCGTTCGAGGAGCTCTGGACAGGACGCGTCCCTGGTGGGCTCCGGTAGACGACTGAGGCGCCCTCTCGCCCCGCCCCGCCCAGGAGCCGCAGCGGCGCTCACGGCCGCTCGCCGCGAGGCTCGACGGGACGTCGATCGATCCACCGGCACCCAAGTGACCCCACCACCCTCGCAAATTCTTACGGGATCACCGGGAGACGCATGCGCGGAGATTAAGGTCCTTTCGATTATTATCGAGAGTAAACTCACCCTGTCGCAGATTTAAAATTTTTAACGAGACTCATTTAGCACACGTATTTCAGCGTTTCGATTTTCAAGAAGGCTCGGCAAGAGATAAAAAGATGAAAATATTCGTCAAGGCTTTTTCCCTAATCCTTTAACGATTAAGACTTTTAATTCCAGATTTTAATATAAGCTCTTCTCCTTCTGACGTTCTTGTATGAATCATCTTCACATACGATGCACGTTTCATCTATTCCTATTTTATTTAGGAGTAAACAATTCCTGTAATTCACTCCGGCGTTTGAACCTGAATAGACGCACGCGCGATTAATCGAGAATCGATTAACCCTCGCGGGAAACTGATTGCGTATTTCAAATACCAGGTGCAATTGCAGAGCTTTTAAAACTTCTGTCATTTATGAAATATTCTAAATGTGAGAGGATTTCACCTTTGCGGTTGTCTGTAGCTCGACGATCGTTACCGAATTAGAGTATTTTTATCCAAGGCTGATTAACTTTTCAAGAGAAATCTGTGAACCAAATTTAAAGACAAATCGTTAAGCGCAGGTATGAGAATATGTTATCTAGAATTGAAATTACATTCCTGTATGTTTTATTACCATTGAATTATTGAAATTCTTTTTAATTACGTTGATTAAATAGATCAGACTGTTTACCGTTTCAAACGCCTGGCCAGACAGCCAGAATAATAATGATTATAACAGAGAAAAAAAGGTGATAATAAAATTGCCAGTAACTGGTAAATAAAACATT